CTACCCTAAATCAGTTTGGTTGATGATCTTGTCCAGGTTCTTATCGTTAAAAATGCTTGTGCTTTAGAGTAGAGATGTTAGAATATTTCTAATAATTTTGTAGTGGTTACAGAAAATAATTGTATCAGATTTGCATACACGTATGAAAATTAATACCTTTATATCTTGTTAATCCTATTTTACGTAATTGCAGATTATAGGAATGCACAGTTCAAAAGGATTTTATTTTTTTTTTTAATTATGATCCCATGTTTTACATGAAAAGCTTTTGGTACCCACAAAACAATTCCAGTAATAAGAAAAGGAACAGATGTTTCAGGGAGTCCTGTTGGTTCCTTAAGAAGAACTCAAAGTCCAATGTGTGAATCCTATTAATACCATGCTGTGAATAATATTGAACAACAAATCTCTAGATTACTGATACATTGCATTTAAAAACAATCCTGGGAGTCGATGTAAATATTTGCTTTACTTACTATTTAAATTGATTCCTTTGTATTGCTTAGGATTACAACATAGGAGTGTCCAGTTTGCTCCATTTGCTTAATGGACCACTACCTTATTTTACATTTGCCTCCTGTAAACTTTATTTATCTTGTTTCTTTTTTTTTAATTAGTATTATTTTAATTACTGTGTTTGTTTAAAGCCTGCTTTTATAACATTAAATATTTCAGTAAGTGGGTTGATACAGGTGTCACTGTCTCAGGGCATGAGAACTGACTGCCTCTCTCTCCTATTTCCTCTTTGTTAGAAGTCTACAGGTTTCAAGGCAGGGGTTCCCGAATTTAATTGGTTTGGATAGTGTAACCCTGGCTCCAAATTTGTTACCAGACAGAAGTTTTCAGTTTTGGTAAGGTAGAATAGCATGCTCTGTCTTAATTGTAGCCTTTTAAGATGCTACTATGCATCTGCTAAAAATTATGGGTTTATATTTCTTAAGGGAATCCCATTTTCAATGAAAATTAGGGATAATATTTAGGGTGTTTTCATATTTAAAATAGAGTTAGATAGCAGTGGCATGCACTATGTTGACAGTAACTACTGCATCAAAAACTTACATAATGTAAATGGTCTTATTCACTATTGTGAGAAAAACATTACATACTCACTTTTTATGCTAATGCCAGTTATTTACTAGTAGTTTGGGACATTTTCATCTCCATTTGTTTGGGCCCAAGACAGACATTTTCCATAGTCCAGTGGTTTGAGCATTCACAGCAGAGTTAGGAAAACTAATTTCAAGTTCCTTATTCAAGGAGTATGTAATTATTGTGTAGTACAGCAGCATGAAAATATAGACTTTGCAGACAAACAGCTGTGTTACAAACAACTGAGTTGATAATCAGTTTCAGCTCCTAAATGAGGAGGCACGCAGGCTCTCAATCTCATTGATCAAGTTCAAAGGAGGCTGTAAATCTTGCAAATCTATGTTAAGTGCATGCAGCCTTGATTTATTTGAGCAAGTGGATCGTCTACCTCATTATGCTGATGAGGGTCTTCACACTTCTGTGGAGCTGTTTCTGATATTGTCCAGTTGCCATGACATTTCAGTACGATATCCCCTGAGGAACTAAGTTCAAGTAAGCCTTGGGCAGCCATGAGCTGCGTAACTGACAAAGTCATGAAACTCCTTTGTTAGAGTATGCCTTCTAATTTATTGATGGAAACACGGGAATCCCAGAGTTACATTGTTGTCAAATATTCTTTGGATGTAACGATGGGTATCAGTGCTTTTTAGGAAAAAATCCCAGCATGTTCATGAGGCATACTGCGGATAACATACATTCTCATTTCATTTCATTCCCATTTCATTTGACATTCCCAGGCTGTCTAGTTGTGTAATTGTTTTGATAGTGTGTTGAGTATGTGTGTTTGGAGCTATATATTGTTTGTGGGGGTTGAAAACCATATTAAAAATTTGAATTTCTCTCTCCAAGCTTTTCCTTGCAGTTCTGATTGAATATGCAGTAATTATTGATAAATATCAGAAATGTTTATTGAGTCACAATTTTGCGAGAAGTTACCTCTTTGTCTGAATTTTGCATTTATTTCCTCTGGTTTGTCTTTAGTGGGTCATTGAGCTTCTGATGTATGTCTGGAACTATAGGATAATAGCCAGCAATATGACTGTTTAAGAAAGAGAAGCTAGGTAGAAGGTTTAATCTAAAAAGCTTTATTAAAGTAGCTGTTTTCAAAACCTTAACTCCCATAACCCAGAAACTCAAGAATCAAACACAAGCAAACCAAACAATAACAAACACATTGTCATTAAATATATTTTCCAGAGACCACTGATTTTTGATTAGTAATTTTGAATTTTTTCATCCAATAAGTGCTGATTCTGCAAGTAGTTGTTTGTCATGATTGGATCTAAAAGCCCTAGATCTCCATCAGTTGATGGTTGTTCTGTAACCTTTGACTCAAGACTTCTGGTAGGATCATGGTACATATTTCTACAAAGAATGAAACTCTAACAGTCTTATCAAGTAACAGCAGTACTCATTGTGTTTAACAGTGCTGGAAATTAGTTTCTCGGGCACTGATCTTGACAGGTCAGCTGTCACAAATTGGTGTATGTATCTGTAAATGTATCAGTCCTATAAACAAAATTCTGTCTGCAAGAAGTGGAAGCCAAAATTGGCACACTTCTGAACAAGTGAAATGCTCTGAAGCACAGAAATGTAAAGGAAAAATCCCTTTTGGAAAAGGTTTTCCTCATGTTCCATTTATGAACTTTATCTGCATCATTTGCCTTTTAGAGACTGGAAAATTTGTCTCTCCATACAGAATGCCATGGAGTTCTGTGCAGATGTGAAATATGCTTCTCCTCCTTGCACTTAGCCCTGCTGCATAAAAGAGAAATCTTTGTCTCTCCTTTTGAAAAAAAGGAATAGGCTTTGGTTTTGCACTGGCATGTTTCCAGCTATTTTAGGAATTCCTATTGTTAATACAGAATGCAAAATAGAGGGTATTCAAAAAGTTTGATCTCTTGAGGTGAAATCAGATAGGGTTTTTGAAGGGAAAAGGAGCAAGAGAAGGAATTGAAATGTCAGCCCATCAGTGGTAGAGAAACAAATGAGTGTTTCATTACTTATTTTTGAATAAATAGTGATTATCATCTGTATACTGTGTAAACCATTCTGGCAGAAAACTTCCCTGTTCCTTTACCATAAATTTACTGTATAGGACAGCTGAAGGAAGCTTAGTCAGAGCAACATTATTTACAGATTCAAGAGAATATATATATACCCCACGTATTAATACGCATCTTTGAAATCTGTTGAACCGTACTGACTTATGTCAGCTGACAAATAGGTTAATTTTGCTTAGCAATAGCAAAAGCTAACATTTGAACATATTTCAGAGCAAGCATCTGAATTTGAATTTAAGATATCATAGCTATAGGTATCTACCCATATTGCTATTGATGCTTTTATGTAAAAAACATAGTTTGTCACTCCAAACTGACATTACAGGTGGAGAGTTTTCAACCTGATACTTCAGCTTTCAGGAGTGTCGTTAGAAAGCTTAATACTACTACTCAGTCATTCTCCTTTTTCATCCTTCAGGTCAGTTGGGTTAAAGGAGGTATAGCTTAATTCTTTTCTTACCTATCTCTCAGGTTGAAGATTTAGTCATTATAGAATAATTTTCATCAGTTGTACCTGTGTGATGGATATGATGGCTGAGTAGTCACTAAATGTCCTGTTCTTTTTAGTTCCCTGTTTTTCTTCTGCAACAAAACACAAAACTATACAGATCTCCCTCACGCAATATATTTGTTGGTTTGACTTTTGAGGCTTTAGGATACAACTAAAGTCATAGAGATAAATCATGTAGGACATCTAGCCATAGGCATTTTCAGTAGAATAAGTTATTTCCAAGAAGATTTTGACTTGCTACATGAAGCTTAGCTTCTGGCAGGAGGAAGCCACATTTCACGTATCTTGGACTGAGTTTAATTTCTGCGGGGCATGCCTTCAACTAACAACACTGCCTCCGTATATGTGAGCGTAGTATTGGTGTTTAAGAGTACAGCTAAAAACAAACAAAAAAAACCCTGTTTCTACTCAATACTATTTATGACTCTTCCAAACAAAATGACACCATGAGTTCTGTTTGAAAGTAAAAGGAGTGTCTGCTGCTGCTGCAGAACATATTCAGGTTGAATAATCCAAAGGTCACTTAAGATTGACTTTTGTATTGAACCTCTTTTCAGAAAAAGCAATAAAATTGATTTTGAAGTGCTAAATTTAATTAAAAAATAAAATATTTAGATGTAATGTTTTGTGGAGTTATCATGAAAATATGTATCTAGCATCTAGCAGATGCCTATAGCGCTCTTAGAATTTATGAGATATTTGATCATGGAAGCCTGGGAAGCTGAGCGGCTGTCATTATTTTACTGATGAGGTAGAAGTAGGGCAAGAAGAGAGAAAATAGGACTTAATATAGGATCTGAAGGATCGTAGATGGAAGAGGAGGCAGTTTTACACCATAGAATCTGTGTCAAGAATTTATAACCACCAGCAAGCAAGAGCATTGTGCAGCAGGCAAAATCGTTGGTCTTTGATAAGCAGTAGAGAATGACTTGGAAAGTAGGAGGGAATTTGATCAAAGAGGAAAATATGGGATGGTAAGACTACAGATAATCCCAAGGACTGTCAAGCAATATAAACTTATTAGAGAGAAAGGTCGTATAGTGATTTGTATGAAGTAAGAATGCAAATAATACAAATAACAGATCGGTTATATTACAGGCATTGAGAAAATGCATTCACACAAAATATTAGTTTATCTGTGCTCTGAATCTCGCTAATTCTGATTATGTGTTTAAAAAACAAAACAAAACAAAAACAACAACAACAACAAAAAAAACACTTCTCTTATCCTCTCTATATCAACTCTGGACTCAGTCAATCTGCTGCAAAATGTTCATGAAAGTATTGAAGGGTTTCTGCCTACCAGTCCTTCAGACTTACTGTACTTTCTGTTCTAGTTGGCCACGTGGGACTCTGAGAAAGGACTGAACGGTAGCCTGCAAGAACGACGTCTGGGCAGTGACTTACAAGGATTGACACTCAAAGTGGTGACTGTCTTGGTATGATGCTATTTGAGTTCAGGAAACAAAATGCTCAAAATAGAAAGGATCTGACTATTTTGGGTGCTTCCTTCAGAATTTTTCCCTATCATTTTCAATTCTGTATTTTTGGATGATCAGTTACATAAGCAAGGAAGATAGATGATGGCCTTATATTATTTTATGTATATCTGTGCAATGTCAGAGATGTAGAACATTGCTTGTGCTTTTTTTCCTGCATTTTAATTCATACTGGGCATAGAACCAGCACAAAGTCTGTGTGCACAGGACTACATTTCAGATACAGTACTCTAACTCAGACATGCAGTTGCTAGTATTTAATGGATTTTAAGATCAGATGGGCCAATTATGATAATCTAATATTGGCTCTTGTACACTGCAGGCTGTATAATGTAACCAAGTGTTTCTTCCATTGAGTTCGTAACTTCCTGTTGAGATAAACTACGTCTTTTAGAAAGATATAGACTGTGTTTTTGGGACTGCAGTTTGTTACTATTCTGAGTGGTAGCAGAGCTCCTGTTAGCTAAGTGCTAAATTAAGGGCAAATTAAGGTTTGAATGCATTCCTGCCTAAGGTATTGTAGTTCCCAGACTGAAGAACGTGATGTCTTTGTGTTGTTTATTGTTCTTTTTCTGAATCATGGTACAAATAGGAAGTAATGCACGAGATGATTAAAGCGGTCTCACCAGCTTTCTTTCCTCTATCAGGATCAGGTATCGTGTGAGATTATGGTATAGTTCATGAGAGAGGTGAGCAAATTCCTTCCAGAAGGATGTCAGCACCACAGCACAAATGCAGACAACTGCAGAGGCTGTGCAGCTGACACACACAGCAGGGAATGATGCCTATGTCTGACTGAAAACATACAAAAAATGCTGTATTCCTTTATCACAATATATGCTTTACTATAAAATACTCTAGAAACTAATACACGTTAAACTTATTGCTGGAATTTTCAAAATTTCAAAAATTCAAAAAATGCAACGTTTTTAGCAGTTGTTTTGAAAGATTAATCATTGTCAGTAAAAGATGGCTTTCTAAATCTGATATGCTCTGAGCTGGAAAGCAGTAGTGCTCCTATCTAAGGCTTATCTGCTTAACTTATTATCTATATTCTAGACAGTTAGTTATGACACTAAGGTAGGTGTCATTGCCCTCTTTATATTCAGTGAGAAGAGGTGGGTATTCCAGAGAGTATTCATCCTGCAAATGCCAGGAAGCTGACAGAGAGGGCTGAATTGTTCTGTGGAGTCTCTGCTTCCTCTCATGAACTGTGTAAAACCCAGGACCATGGATGTAACTCAGCTGCTGAAACATTGGTGCCTGGTGGGGATGCCTTGGAGTGTTCCACCTGATCTGGGCTTTTTGCTGAGAGGGTTATGAGGGTCTTGAAATCTGCGCTGAGTTGTCCAGAATTGACTCAAGAAACATCCATTTTGCTTAAAAACAAAAACACCTTGTTTCAAGTATCAGCTAAGATATTGTTTTGTTCTCAGGAAGAACCTTTTGTGATGGTGGCAGAGAACATACTTGGGCAACCAAAACGTTATAAAGGATTCTCCATTGATGTCCTGGATGCACTTGCCAAGAATCTGGGTTTCAAATATGAGATATATCAAGCTCCTGATGGCAAATACGGACATCAGCTCCAAAACAGCTCCTGGAATGGCATGATTGGAGAACTTATTAACAAGGTACACAGAGAAGAAGCTGCATTTGAAAAACAAACAATAAAGATTCTTCAGAGTAGGATATTTAAGCTAAGTTAAGGACATTTTTGAAATTCTTCCCTTCCTCCACTGGAAATTACAGGAGATTGAATTAGAATCAAAGAGCCAGTACAGAACTCTTCTGAACTGTGGGTGGCTTGAGTGTAGTCTAAACCGTGCTATTTAAGACCTTTTATGTAGGGTCGGAACTATAGAGTGTGTTGGTCTGTTTACTCCCACCTGTTATCAACATATATTATGTCAATGTAAATCTGTTTATATAGATGTCAGAAATGAGTATATAAAGAGAGGGCGTATGTGTGAGTGAGTACAGAAAGTATGTTTTCTTAAACGATTAATTATTATTTTTTTGTCATTATATATTTGATACATGACTTGTAGGTATGACTTTCTCTGGATCACTGTGTGGCAGTATGTTTCATAAGGATCAACCGATAATTCCAAAATAGGAAAAGTATCACTAATAACATACGCCATAAAGAAGTGTTTTGGAGGACCGGAATTTTAAACTGAGCTCAGGATTACTCATTCGGTTAATACAAAGAGGACCAAATTTCGTTGTTAATTAAAGTCTTGCAAATCAGGAGTGAGTTAATTGAACTCTGTTGAAGTAAATGGGGAAAGTCTGTAGTTTAGAATCTCCAGGAGAATGAGATTAAAATGTATTTTGTTCATGGTCTTGCTATCTGACACGGGACAAATGCTATTCAAGACAGAGAATCAAAGGAATTAATATTCCATGTCTATGCCCTTTGTAGAAAAGGTTACTCTTCTACAGTGCAGTTATTACTGAAAGTGAAAGCTTTCTCATTATGTAGTAAGTAGGCATCTCAGTGTCTGGGAAGTAGATGTTTAGGAAGAAATAGATGCAATTAAAGCAGTAGAAAACATGTATGATAATGGGATATACTTGGTTGGTATTAGGAAATATAAAGGATTTTTTACTTATTTTGCATTGACATAAGCTATTTGAATTTAATTGACTTAAAAATCTGGTAAGAAATCCTGTGAAATTTCTTTGGAAATTGAATTCTTTGAAGTAACAAAATATTTATAATAGTATTTCTGTTACTAGCTTTTCCACTGCCTCCAAAGAATTTCAAAGCAGATCTCCCTAACCTAATATTTGGCCTACTTTCACAACAAAACACAGAGATAAGAAACAAAAAGTACATTTTATTTTTTGTAGCGAACTGTTTTGATTAAGATGGGAAAATAATCAAAAACCAATTGCAGCTCTTAAAAGCTTTGGGAATCTTATTTATTAAATACTTTTATCTTTCATTGAGTTTGCATACTCTTAAAGGACTTTGTATATGTAAGACCTGTTCACTTTAAATGTTGAGGTCAAAGCAGTTCCAGGAGGTAAGTTTCCTTTGGGGCATTCTTACAGTTATTAGTTTTTGCAGGCACTTTATTTGTTGTAAAAGCAAAAATCTTCTCCCCAGTTGTCATATGAAATCCATTTATTAATATGGGAAGTTGGCAGGTAGAACAGCAAACACTAGCTCGTCACAACACACAAATACTAAAAACACAAACTAAATAAATTTTGCATGGGGAAGAAGTAAGGATTTTATTTCTCAGTAATCTTGTGATGACAGTAGAGTAAAAGAAGCATTGATAGAACTGCAAGATGTGCATGGATGGTGCTTCTTGCTTACTGCTTGCAATGCATTGGGTTAATATGGTTTAGAGTTTTAGGCTTCATTTGGAAAAGAAGTGAGGCATAAAGATTAAATAAACTGCATTTCATTCCAGACGAGTCACGGTGACTCTTTTTGTTCTGTAATACTTTGACAGGTTACGTTTCACTGTTATGCTTTAAACCAATGCAATTAATTAATGTTTGATTGATAAAACTGATTCTGATTTTACTTTTAGACAATTTATTTTACTTTGTCTAAATATTAGATTTTAAAAAGATATGCACAGAGCCACTTGCTTTTTAAAAAAGCTTCTCTTGAAGACTTATGCTAGCAGAATTCATGGTGAAAGAAGGAGATCTGACATTTTGCCTTTGTCTTGCAGAGAGCAGATCTAGCAATCTCAGCCATCACTATAACACCTGAAAGAGAGAGTGTAGTGGATTTCAGCAAGCGGTACATGGACTATTCGGTGGGGATCCTGATCAAGAAGCCCGAAGAGAAAATCAACATCTTCTCTCTCTTTGCTCCTTTTGACTTTGCGGTGTGGGCTTGTATTGCTGCAGCCATCCCTATAGTTGGTGTCTTAATATTTGTCTTGAACCGGATCCAGGCAGTCAGGGCACAGAATGCTTCCCAGCCGAGCCCTTCTGCTTCCTCCACCCTGCACAGTGCCATCTGGGTTGTGTACGGCGCCTTCGTTCAGCAAGGTACATAGTCTGTTACAGACAACACTCATGGATGTTCAGAAGTGTTCTATCTTGTTTAGAGCATTTCAGGACATGTTAGTCTTGGCCAGAGTATTTCTAAAGATGAAAGAGAAGTTTTGTACAAGGAGGTAATATGTTTTATTATCCCAGGTAATGAACAGTGGGAAGTAGGTAAATTTGGGGGATTACGTTACGCTGTTCTGTTCCTCAGAAAGTGTAGTGAAACCATTCCTGACAGACTTTTTCACTGTGAAAATGATCACTTGGTAAATAAATGGCAGAGCTGCTTGGCTCAACATTACAATACTTCTCCAACTGAGAAACTGGCACCTTTTCTAATCATTTAAATGTGATTAAAAAAAAAAAAAAAAAGTTTTGAACTAATATGATACAGTTTATCTTTCTGTTCTTTGAAACGAATAGGAAAATGTTCTGAACGCTGTGTAATGATTTAATTCCAGGATATTAGTGGTACTTCACCATTAAACTTTCCTTATTTAGAATATTATTCATGTTCTGTATGTCTGATCCTGAATAATGCCTGAGGGAAACATTTTGAAAGACTATTTTCTAGAACAGTACCCAGGGCAAGAGGTTGACTACATGTTGTAATGGAAGTAGTGCTTAGCTCACAGCAAAAGGGATGCACAAATACAGAGGGTTACCCCAACACAGTTCTACATATCAGAGCATGCAGGGGAGAAGTTCCTGAAACGTCCTCATTTTCCCTGTTTACTTGTAGGGGGTGAATCTACTGTCAATTCTGTGGCTATGCGCATTGTAATGGGAAGTTGGTGGCTCTTCACCCTTATCGTGTGCTCATCCTACACAGCAAACTTAGCAGCATTTCTCACAGTATCAAGGATGGATAATCCTATAAGGTAAGAGCCTTTTCTTAACATGGAGCTGGAAACCTGGCTTTCACAGAAATGTATTACGCATTTGAGCACTCATTCTTGCAAGAAGGAGATAACTCTCTAATAAAATACTCTTCTTATTTTCAGTGACTGCTTTTCTCTTTTCCCTTCCTCTCCCCTTCTCCTTCACTCCTACAACCCTCAAGTGTGGAAAGGACAATGGTATTTTAATTGTGTGTTTTTGAAGAAGAGTTGTCTTTCATGTTTATTTTTATTTTGCTTAACTAGAGATCTAAGTACTTCAGCTATCCGTGTCTCTTTGTTGAACATCAGAGGGGAACTACTACTCTAGGGAACTATATATTTTTTCACTTCTCACCTTTAATGTGTGATTTCATGCTCTTGATATTTTGATATGCATTGCTGCTTATGCTATTGTTTGCATGTAAGATGATACAAATGGACTTTTTAAAGTATAGATGGCCTGATTCCGTGGCGTTATTTGCAGAAAAGACTTCTTCTCACAGAGGAAAAGATAACCAAATCTGACTCCAGGATAATAGATGTAATATAGCATTCATTTGATTAAATTTATATATAATTTGCTACATTTGTGTTGGCAATATTGTGATGATAAATTACAGCTTCTGTAACAAACTCAATTTATCTTGCACCTTTGACTTTTTCCCCCACTGCCTGCCTACTAATCCATATCCTACAAGAATATTTTCAATAAGCCAGGCCTCTGAGCAGCTCCTGAGGGCTGCTGGTTGTTTGTTGGCATGTTTAATGTTTGTTTGTTTTTCTTTAGAAAATGTAACAGTTAAACATTTCCCCTTTTTCTCTCAAAACATGGGCAAAATTTCCAGCTTCACCCTGGCATGGAGTACTGAGAGGACCATTTATTGTCCTCATTCACTGCTGACAGAATTAGTCTGGTATCTCATGTTTGATCTGACAGCAATTGAGTGGAGAGGTGGCTAGAGGACAGGCAGTGCAACACAGGCTTTCCTAGAAAATGCTGAGGCAAAGATTTTAGGTGCTGCTGAGTGACACAGTTACTCTGTCAATCTCATTTGGGGTTTCACTGGAAAACTGGGACTGGAATCTGTGCACAGCACCTAAAACAGAGCTGTTGGCACTTACATGAGACTGTCTCTTAGAGGAAAACAACAACAACAACAAAAATGCTTTTGCTTTCTCTATGTTATCTGCACAGAACGACAGAAATAATTGCCATTACATTCATGCAGGTAATACAATGCTTTGTATATATATACTGTTAAAATTATTACAAAAAGAGCCCAAAATAATGAAAAGTTCTGTTTTTTAATTAATTTTCTATTAGTTGGGTTGAAATAAGTAAATTTTAACAGTAATAGAAATAAGAACTTCAAGTAATTTCTGGAAATGACATGAGAAACTAAAGAGAATAAAACTAGTGCACAGTATCTCTGAAACCCGTCTGTAAGATCTCATCCTACATTTTAGCACCAAGGTTCAGCTCAATGAATAAATTGTTCTTGAAACCCAGGACAGAAATAGTTGTCTGGAAGGTTTGAATAATGACCTTCTGAATGATTTCTGAAAGTTCTTGTTCCTTCATGGTGGAAGAAATTGTCAGGTTTACTGAGCACCTCCCAGAACTCAGCAGATTTTAGAGGACAGAAGTGTGATGAAATGCAATGAGGAATCTGGAGAAAAAAGAGAAAAAAAAAAAAAAAAAGAAAAAAAAAAGTAATTGGATTTAAGAACTGAGCTGCTTGATGAGTAAATCAGACCTTAGAGGCTGACCTATTACAATATCTACAGGTGGTTTTGATTCCTCTTCTTATTAAAAATTTTAATAAGGATAAGTTATTTGGGTAATGGGGCTGCTTGACATTGTCACAGGACTTCAGAGCCCATTTTGCCCTCTACTATTAGAGATTACAACTGAAGAATTATGATTATGTGCCTTTCTATACCCAGTGGTGGCTGCCACTTTCCAAGTTCCCAGTGTCGCATCCACTTTACAAGGAGAGGATACAGAAAGTAGGAAACACTACTGTGGTCTGCAAACACCAGAGATAAATTCATGTGCCAAACCAGAAAGGTTTTTTGTTATTTGAATTGCTGCAAGGCCCACCGTGTGTCCAGTTACTTGGCTCTAAGAGCAGGGGTCTCTATTATTATTTATTTTCAGCCATAATATGGATTATTCATACTGTCTGGGATATTTAAAGTGGTCCCAGATGCTTAGGCACCCAAATCCTTCCCCAGGTAATCTGAAATGGTAGCTGTCAGAATACTCTGGGTTGATGATTAGTTGGCATAACTAAGCTAGTTAAGAGATTTGCTTGTCTTAGTGTCTTTATGGCTTTTTTACAAAGTTGGCAGAATCTTCCTGAGATCCTGCTACTCTAAGAGATTTGGTCTAAACCCACCCATCAAAAACTGCTAGTGCCCCAGGAGACAGGCGATGCGTTAAAGAAGTAGGTTCTCTAAATGTGGAAACTCTATCTGTTTCTAAGCCATGATGAAAATATTTTCATGTCATCAGTCATTAGGAGAAACATCTTGCTCATTTTTGTAGTCTCAGGTTTAAAACAAATATGTTTCCCGAGAAAGTAAATTATTCCCTTACATGAATGCATCATGGCCCAGTCTTTCAGATCCAGTAGCACATAGCTTCAGTGTGGTATGATGTGGAATGAGTATTTTTACCTTTGTAAATTTGCCTTTGCGCTTGCCTATATTTTATCTTTTGTGGACTCAGAAAGGGATAGTTTCTTGAAATGCATTTGCTCCCACCCAAAGAAGTGCAGTGAATTATAGTTGAAAATTTGCTCACCAGCTGAGAAGTACCAAATACATCTGAGATTATTCCCATGGTTAAGAAACCAACCCCCTGTCCGCTCAGTGTGTACTGTTGTCTGTCCCTCCATAGGAAAGTCCTCTGGTGTTCAGAATTGCTGCTGTTAAATTGCCAGCAGGGGAGAAAAGAGTTTTATGGTGCTGCAGAAGCTGCAACATAGTTAAGATTTTCATTACAAGACTGATTTTGTTCCCAAGCCCCCTCCAAAATAGCTAATAAGTGTTTCAGCATCAATTTTGGCATGTGCAGTCTGTGACTAGCAGAATAGAAGTACATTTTATTGAATAACTAGGTGTCAATCAACCCAGTGATACCTACCTCCACAATTTCACTGCAAAACAAGTGTGTCATAGAAATCATAAATGGTATTTATTAGAAAGGGCTTGGCGAGACATTCACTGAAGCAGTGTTGAACTGTTGGAAGGCAGATTTTTTAAATTAGCATGTCATGAAAGCCTGCTGATAAAGAAGGCTTTTAAAATTAAAAAAAAAAAAAAAAAAATTCTCACAAGGCTTTTCAACCCTACCACGAATTTTAGAATCTGTCTGTGGTTCACAGAAAGGTGAAATACCTGGCTAAGGAGGCATGGTGGAAAGCAGCTCTGATGTGCTACCTGTATTTCTGTATTTCCTGAGAGATTTCCTACATCCCAAAGGGGTTCCCAAGTGTTGTGCTGTCCGGGTGCCCAGATCGCATGTCAGAAATTTACTTATCTTGGATAGAACAAAGACCTCCTCCTTGTTTTTTCCAAAAACCTCAGAGACTTCATAGTATGATAACAAGGAGAGGTGCTGGCCCTCCTCCTGGCATGTCAGCAGGTGCTGCCCTGCTCTTTGCACGTCCCGGGTGGCCACCACTTGCTGCACTGTGACAGGACAGTAAGGACAGTCAGAATGCAGAGTCTGAGACCCACCTTAAAACCTTAGGTCCTTTCAGAGATCAGGGATAGGAGAAAACACCATGGACCTTCCCAGACTGCCCTCCATTCTCAAGTTGCTAGTAGGGTTTTTGCATTCATGGAGATTCACAGACAGGGCAGTGTATGCTTTAGCAGATTTCCTGATTATGTATGGGCAGAGGAGTGAGATACTACTCTGCTCCAAAGGAGATTGCATTTCTGTGAAAGAAATTGCTGGTGCAACCACTTTGGAGCTCGGACTGCAGGTCTGTGATCCACTTTCTGACTTGGTAACGAGCAATTCTTAATTTTTGTTTTCAAGTATAAATCTAGGCAGTGTTTGTAGCCTGTGCTAATCCTTGACTAACTTGCTTAAACTGAAATGATTTATATTTATTCTTATATTTGCAATCAGACCTGTGTGCAGCTGAGAACCCTTCTAATGGCTCAGTTTGACAAATAAGGGCTAAACTACTATATTAGTTTGTTCTTTCTTTTGTCATATTACATTTTCAAACAGCCCTTGGATCTGCTGTCTGACCTTCCATTTGTAATTATGAGTTTAATTAGCAGTGACTGAACTTCCAGCTTCATTTCTTGTTAACAAGCAGACTACATACAGTTCAGTAGTAAGGAGATATTCTTAAACTCAGGTTTAGGAGAGCTTGTCTGATAAGAGGTATGAATCATGCAGGAAAAAATAGGACATGAAAAGTAAGCTATTTGCAAACTGAAGAGTTTAAATTTAAGATTTTATCAAATTGATACTTAGTATTTGGGGCTGCTGTGGAGGTTCTTAAAGGCATCTGTATATATGCTTTCATGGTTTGCATAGAAAAGTGTTATATATGCTTTTATAGTCACAGTTGTTGCTTCATGATCTAGCATTTCCTTATTTGGATTTTAATCCCCAAATTCCATGTGTTTTGGTGACAGTGGAAAATTTACTGCAGCCTAGTAGGGGTGATAAGTCTGGCAGTTGGAAGACTTGGGTGCAATTTCTTTTTCTACCACGGGCTTTGTTTGATCTTGGCAAGCTTAGCCTCCTCTCTATTTCGGATCCCTTTCTGTATAACAGAGTAACATTTTTTCATATCTTATATGGCATGTTGTCAGTTTAGCTACTTTAAAAATCTTGGCCAGAAATGACCATATTATTATAGCTCTGCAGGTATCAAAAAAGATAAATGTTCTGGGTTGCATTAAAAAAAAAGTCTCAAAATGTTTTAAAAGAAAATGAGGAAAGTATTTTGAAGATGCCAGCTAGA